AACAATGTGGTAAGTAGAACAAGTTCTGACTTGGCATCTGTTGGGTTGTTGGAAAAGTCATGATGTAGTTTTTCTATGCTTTTCGTTGCAAAAATGCATCATGACTTTTCTGACAACCCAACAGATGACCATGTCTCAGACTCAGCTGTGCCACTTTATGATCTTGGCTAAGTCACTAAACTTGTTTCCTCAACTGTCAACTGGAGATATAAAGCTTCATCACTTGCTTCCCTTCCTGAATGCACAATGGAGGCTGTGGGGCAGTGTCGATGAGTACGTAGGCTTTGGCAGCAAATGAACTTGGGGACAAAGCCTACGCATGGCGCTAATGAGCGCTTTGACCCCAACCAAGTACTCAGCTTCTGTGTACGTCAGTTTCCTCTTACAAAATAGGTCTAATACTAGAACCTACCTCCGAGAATCACGGTGAGGAGTCAATGAAATAATGTCTGTAAAATGCTTAGCACAGTGCCTGCTATGTAATAAAAGGCTCAACTTGATGCTACCTCTTTTAATTGTTGTGCTAAATATGCACAAAGAATCACAGGGATGTTGTACCATATACAATCAGAACAGCGTCACCTTCAAGTACCCTAAACCTCATTAAGCTGATGATGGACATGGGGTGATAGGGTGTTTGATATTTAGGATTCAATAGGATCCTAGACATAAGACAGGGCTTTGGAAGATCTCTGAAATAGGGTCATTTTCTCCAGTAATCAGAAAACCAACGAGCAGGAGCTTTTCACCAGGACATATGATTGAGATGCAAGGTACAAAGTCGCAGACCCAGGACTTGTGACAAAAATGACATACGTGTATTCATGAGGCTCATACTAAGTTCAGAGAATTGTCGGAACCCAAACCCACTTTGAAATGAGCTCCTGTGAATGCCACTCCCATGGAGACTGGTTGGCTAGGCCCCGAAGGGGCCGGGCATACATCAGATCCTGTGCTAGGAGCTGAGGACCCCGCCCCGGGCCCTACCCTCAGGCTTACAGTTTCTGGGCCAAGTAAGTACAGACATTCTGCACTTAGAAAAGGTGAAAATGCTCCTCTGGCAAGGATCATTCTGGAAATTGCAACCCATATGTGGAAACTGCCCCAAGGTCAGAGAGCCATGTTGCTCCATTCCAACCTTCACGAGAGCGCCAGGCTGCTCTACCAGGAGCTCCACGGTAATGAAAGTTGGTGCTGCTCAAGGAAGCCCATGGGATTCTTTCAGACAGGCTTCCTCAGATGAGCCGTAACCTTGATCACAATTTTCTCCTCGAAAAACTGACTGAACACCAGGTCAGAAACAAATGCTTCATATTTTAAGGAGAAATCTGAGGTATGACAGGATGACACATGTATCACATACTGTCAATTTGTTCATTTCCTGGAACTGACATTCACAGTAAAACTTTCTTAAGTGAATCTTAATTTTGTGAATCCATGTACCAGAACCTTCGTGACAGTGTCTTTCCTACAACGGTAGGAATGGAAGATTTCGGGTTCTTTGAAATGAAGATGCGTACCTGGAGACTCCAAATTAAACTCCTTTAACAGTAATTCAAGTCAGAAATCTCACTTGAGAAAGTGAGACAATTAGCATTGCCACACAATCAAGCCTCTTTGAAAAAAATGATTTCTGGTTTCACCTCAAGAGATTGGGTCATGGAGCCTTACTTTTGATTCTGTCCTGTCTGGAAAGATGGCTTTCTCCTGGCCCAGTGGTCCTTCCTGTCGTCTCCTTTGAATTGGCATTTTTGAATGGGGGTGATTGGCGAGGTGTAGAGCGGGCCTGGTCAGAGAGAATGGGAGAAGGCAGCAGAGAAAGAAGGGCCCAAGGGGAGGAGGTTGCAACTTCTGACTTATTGGGTTCACCTGAGAATGGTGTTGCCAGGTCAGAGAGGAGCTCTTCCAGGCAAGCATCCTGTTGAATGGTAGCAATTGGTGAGGTGTGGAGGGGGCCTGGTCAGGAAGCGGAATAGGAGGGAGGCAGCTGGCCCCGATTCCAGACAGCCATACTTCCTCTTGCTACTGCCCTCTCTGCAACCTGCTTTCCCTCCTCTCCTGCCAGCCTGGGGAGGGGGGCGGGTGGGGGGAAGCAGCGTTTGGAAGCATACCTGAGGGTTCCCTAAAGAGCTGAGTTCAAAGGCTCCTGGCCCCATCAGAGCCAGGGAAGGGCCGGAGGAGGAGGAAGGGAGAAGGTGAAGTTTCTACCCTGCCCAGTAGCTGATGCTCAGACAGGGAGCATGTGCTGGGCCTGGGCTGGCTGACTCTCTGGCCTCAGGGACAGCCTGGCCCCTTCGGTGCTGCCTCTCTCAGCTTCATCCCTGTTCCAGGAGGGTGGCTGGGAGTGGGAGCTCCTACCACCCAGTCCAGCCTTCCCGCTTGGGTTTGATCTCAGGAAGGGAAAGCCTGTGCCCCTCTTTTGAAGCAGCAGCCGGCACCACTCGTCTTTTCTCTCCTTCCCGCAGGCACTTCTGTTCAGAGTGCTGCCTCTCGCTGGCTCCTTCTGCTTCTGCTCTGTCCTCCTGCTGATTGGGAAGAAAGTACACCAGTGGGGTGACGGGGGTCTGGAACTCTTAAAGGAGCAGCTTTATTTCTATTGGCAATTTACTATGTATTTAGCACATATTTTTCTGTCTTTCCTCAATCAATATAATCTGGTGAGAAAAGTGAATCAGAGACAAAGTGACCATAATCATCATTTAAATGTTAATTGTAAATGTTCGGGGTTTCCTCTAAGGATTTTCAAGCAGATCAAGCACTAGCCCTGGCAACAATCATTAGCAATCAGATCCAATTTGAGGATCATTTACTGAGGGCATAGAGGTTGGGGGCCATGGATCTAAGCAGGGAAGTCTATGCCGTTTCAAGGGCTCGCAGTCTAGGGCTGAAGACTAGAACTCCTCGAAGAAACAAAGCACAGTGATAATTTGAACATCTCTGGCACCATGTTTCCCAATAGCTCTTTTGCCTCGGAGTATTTGACCAGAAGAGTTTACAAATAGCTAAATTGACAAGGCAATTTGAAGTGTAGTCTTCCCTTGGCTGGCTGCCCATTGGTTGCTTTGCAGTCAGTCAACCAGTATTTGTTAAGAAACTGGTCCTCTGCAAAACAAATAAACATGTTCAAAAGCCTGACTGGATGTTAGTGTTGTAGTAGCTCAGTGCCTTGTTTCTGTATGTTGGTGATGTACTTTTTTCCCACATAAAAAATGTGAAAGAGACAAAACACTGAGCCCCTTCAAGCTCAGCTTCTGAGGTCTTCCATCTCTCAGGAGCTGTAGCAGCTTCTGGGTTCAGCCCTAACGCGGCTTCCCAAGACTCTAGGTTCTAATCTGGGATCGCCCTCTAGGAGAAATGTCAGATCTTGAGCAAATTACTCAGTCTCAGTTTCTTCTGGAAAAAAAAAAAAGAAAGAAAGAAAGAAAGAAAAGCTATTTGGATGATTTTGAGAATCGGAGATAATATTAGAGAAACATATTCAAATAAAAAGGAATGGAACACCACAGTGGTAAGAGCCACATGGCAGCTGGATAAAGTCTCTCTTTTTCTGGATGGGGAAAACGAGTCTCCGAGAAGAGACTTGCTCAGAGTCACACAGAATTGGCGCCCTGCTCTGTTAATGCTTAGTCTACTGCCCTTCCTAGGAGAGCCCTAGCCTTAGGATTGCAGTAATGCGCCAATACTATTCCCTCTGTGTAACGACATGAAGAAGGCAAATGAGACGTCTGGGACTCCAGGGTACTCCTACTCCTGAAATGCCAGAACCGGTCCCACTCCTGCTCCCACAGGAGGACAGAAGGCCTTTCCGAAAGGCCACTGGCTAAAGGGATCCACCAAGTCCTGGACCAAAAGTAGAGGCTGAAAGGAGGGAGGAGACTGCACGTGGAGGGAGACAGATTCTCCCCCCAGAAGGGAGACAGGCACGTGGTGGCTGTGTGAGGAAGGTGATAGAGTCCAACCCCAATTTCCCAGAGTCCCAATCACACCCCCCAAGGACCACACAAGGGCAGTCATTAATGCCTACCCTTGCACCCCACTGAATCCAGGGCCCAGAGCTTGCAAGCCTACTGGGTGTGCGCCGCACGTCCAGCAGCCTGGCACAGCACTGCGGCCAGCCTGGCCCGCCTGGCCCGCCTGGCCCGCCTGGGTGTAGGCACGCGATGTAGCAGGGACGATGAAGGTGACCGCCTTCTCCATCCTGGCCCCGCGTGCTCTGCGGGGCGGGCCCGAGCATCCCTCGGGCCCGCCAAAGTTTGCTATAGTGCTCCGGGCCCGAAAAGTGTCCCCGGGTAGGGACCGTGCGCCAGACAGCGGGGTCGACCCCCATCCCCGCAGCAGTTTGTGCGCTCTTTTGTGATTCCAAACAGTAACTCCAAGTGGTGGGAGTGGGCGGGGGTTCAGAGAGGGGGTCTCCTTCCAGAAGCCTGCGTCCTGATTCCGCCAGCCCTGCGCCTGCATCCCTGCAACTGCCCCTCGGGCCAGGGTCGGGGCCCACGTCCCCAGGTCTGCGGCAGCTCCCACCAGCTGATTTTGACAGAGTGGGGTCCGGATGGCGCAAGAGGGCGGGGCGAGCCCCTGCCAGATCCGGGGATGATAACGTGCCGGCTCCATGTCGCGGCTTTGGGCTGTCCAGACTCCGCCCCCTGTGAGTGTGTAAGTGTGTGATGCTACCGCGG